GTCAAGGCCTACAGAAGTTAATAATGGCTCAATTGTTATTCTAGTACAGTGGTACCTCGAGTTACAAACGCCTCAGGTTACAAACGCTTCAGGTTACAAACTCCACTAACCTGGAAAAATTATCTCGAGTTGAGAACTTTGCCCCAGGATGAGAATGGAGATTGTGTGCCGGTGGCACAGCAGCAGCAAGAGGCCCCATTAGGGAAAGCACGCTTCTAGTTAAGAACAGTTTCTTTTTTCTTTTAAAAAATTTTTGTATTACTTTTATTCCATATTACATCACAATGCAAATATACCAAAGCCATCACCACATCATCCCCATCCCCGCATATATTTATCATTTATATCCTCAATCAAATGTAATATTCTTTTGTCCCTCCCCCTGCTTCCCTCCGCCCCACTCGATTTCCTCTACATTCTGAGATTACATTTATCTTTGAATTCTGCAGACTTTTCAGTTCATCTATGCATTCTTATTGTCCTTCCTTACTAAGTTACATTCCCTAAGATACTTTACATTTTAATCTAGGCATATTAGCATATCTTTTTTGAGCAATATTTTTCCATATATTCATCAAAACATTTCCACTCCTTCTTAAATTTTTGATTTCATTGATTTCTTATAATAGCTGTTAGTTTTGCCAAAGCTAATGGATTTGTAAATTAAATGAATACTTAGCTCTAGTTAAGAAGAGTTTCAGGTTAAGAACGGACCTCCGGAACGAATTAAGTTCGTAACTAGAGGTACCACTGTACTGTGGGTTGGGTTTGTTGCATTTCACTGAATTATGCTACATTGTTATAGATGGACTATTGCTGGGTTTGCTTGTCCTAAAAAGAGAAAAAGTAGAAATGGGACCTTTTATGAAAGCTGAATTGATCACATACTCCACACATCTCCACTGTTGTGGCTTCTCTACACACTCATGCTATAGTTGAATTCAACATTAAATAAAGCATCACATAGATGAAAAATCAGTTCACTATATCTATTTAGGTTTCATTTAGTTCTGGACACTGACTGTGCTGGCGGAGCATTTTGGTCTTTATATCCTTCCAGTTTCCATGCAAGGGAGAGTGTTACTAACATAAAAGAAGAGGGGGAAATTCTTGACATGGAATCAGAAGCTATTAAGCAGAAACTACAAGATAACAATGCAGACTTAATGGGACATTTTAAAAATATGCTGTTGCTGATATTGTTCATGTGCTATTACTGATATTTTTTCATTATCCATTTTCTTGTACATGGTTGTCATGCTTAAGTGACCCCTAAATTGGACCATAGCAAATTGCTGCTAATAGGTTTGGAATGCAGTACATGATAGTATTTGGGGCTAGGACACAAGTGCTGTTCAAGAGATGCTGTGTTTAGTGTTTCAATCTTTGCAAGTATTGCTGAATGAATTATGGATTTCAGGCCAGCATCCACTTCATGGACCACCTTACTCTTGGGAATGTCGTAATATTCTGGTAGCCATGCCTAATGTTAAAGATTTGCTGAAATCCTGATGGCCACTTCTTGAACCCATGCCTAACAGAAAGAGGCAAGACACAGATACATAGGAAGATAGGAAGCTCTCAAGGTCTGACCATTGGTCTCCACTTGGACACAAAGAGCACTGAATGACCTTGAGCCAGTCACTGCCTCTCAGCTTTTGTCTACAAAGACTGGTAGTTGCTTTTCAGGATTTCTGACAGTGGACATTTGCAACCCCAACTGAGGATTCGTGAATTCAACCTGGGACATTTTGCATGCAAAGTAGATGTTCTATGACTGAGCTAAGGCCCTCTCCCTATGATTGTAAAGGTAACTGGAAATCTAGAGCTTAATCAACTTGATTAACTAGATAGCTTCATTAGACAAAATTAATCTACATTGCTAAAGTTGTACAGAGCTGCCATCTGAGCTGTTAACCTCACTTTGTCTAACGGCAGAGCCTGGTACAAATATTTCCACCCCTCCACCCGTCCAATCCAACTCACTCCATCGTCTGTCCCCCACTTTTTCTTCATTTCCTTGCTAGATGGTTTCTTTCTGTTTCATAACTCTAATAATTTCAGCCATATTTTCTTTAGCAGTTGACAGGCAGAGCATGTCAAAAGCTATGTAAGTAGCAAATGGGAAATATATAGGGAGCAAATTTCACTACTAAATCCCAATCAAAGAGGGGTTGCCACAAAATGTCTGGTGCTTATATAACCATGAATGAATTCCATATTGCATTTCTAGATGCATGACCCATGGAACAGGCTGGAGAAAACCTCTTCCACTCCACTACCATATCTTTTAGCCATGTCATGGTGATCAGCTTCCCATTTTTTGTATTTATTAAAAATATAAGACATGAAGCATGTGCTTTTTCTTCTGACTTGGGCTGAGTGTGTTTTGTAGATGAGCTATTATTTGTTGGCGTGAGATGTACTGTCATATTTATTTCCCATTATGTGTAAACACATTTCCATTGCATACCACTTGCCCATACATTACTTATGGCATTTTAAATCCCCCTCACTAACTGGTGGCTAAGAGTTTTCTTTGCTCCCAGTGGTCGTTCTCTCATGCCATGCATTAGCATTCTTTAATGTACGTTATCAGGTTATTTCAGCAAAAGGCAGCACCTCGTAAATTCTTCCCCATGGAAGCAGCAAAGTTTATCTGCAACTGTCAAGATGATGCATTTCTTCATGCTTGATCCATGTAGATCTTTTCTCTTCGCCTCAGTATAATCAAGAAACACAAGAGGTGAAGTGAAAAGATCTTGAGTACTGTTAACTGCTAAGTACGGTATTTGGTGTGGGTTTTTTTAAAAAATAGATGTAAAGTTCTTATCTTTTGATCAGACATTGAAGTGTTGCAAGGAGGTAACATCTCTCTTGAGTGCACTCTGTTATGCCAAAGTGGTTGTTGTCTTCTGTGTTAAGGAAGCAAGTTTCTCAGTGTGAAACCATTGCATTGATTTGGCAGCTTGCAATGTTCCTCTTTATTAGTAATGGGCAAATTTCTGTCAGCTCAGTACAGAATTGGCTTGGCATTTACAAGCACTCTCTGAAAATTCTTAGAAAAAGTGCCTGGGTGGTATTTATTTATTTATTTATTTATTTGTGTCATACCATGGGAGCAGGTCACACCTATCACAACCCCAACCCACCTCATCTACCAACCTTTCTGACTCTCTCAGCTTCTCCCAATAATTGGCTTTTGGGCCTGTGCTTTTAAACTTGAATTGTGGGTTTTGATACCGGGCCCAAGGGTAATTTAGTACCGGGGACATGCTATCATCCCCCTCATCAAAATATTCAAGAAAGTCTTGAAATGCAGAATGAAATCAAGGAAGCATGCACAAGAGGAAATGTTGTAGCAATGGAAGATAAAACTTAATTCCCACAGATTCATCCCTACCCCCCACTGACTTTCTGAAGTTAAGAGTTAAATATAGTTGGGGTCATAATAATACATGCTAGTTTATTAGGAAAACTTCAGTTGAGGAGGGACATAATTATTGGGGCTAGCCTTATCCTCAATTAATCTTCCTAATTTTACTTTTAAAAGCTTTCCAAACTGATTCTGTACCTCAAAAGCAAGCCCCACTTTCTTCAATAGGGCTCACTCCAAGGTACCTGTGTGTGTAACAGGATTGCACAGATTGCTCAGTCACAAGCAAGCCCCATGAAAAAGCCTATATACTAATGTTCTAAATTAGAACACAGTACAATTGTTTGATATCATGCCACTCCCTCTATTTAGAGGGGACAAATTCATCACAGCCCATCTCTTCTAGGAAGATGACTTGAAATGGTTCTTTCCAAGGAAGGATCTGGGGTTAGTCCTCATGGGGAGCTTGCCCAATCAGGAATTGGAACAAGCCAGCCCCTTTAAAGTTGGATCCTCCCACAAATGCTTCCTTCTCTGCTTGAAGCTTCCTCCTTTCCTCCCTATTCAGTATGGATACTGCTAGTCACCTGTTTGGGGATTGAATAGGAAGTTTTGGGGGACTCTATTTTGTTTGGCTTGCTATTTAATTGGTTGCTTTGCAGATTCTCTTGCAGATTTTGACAGTCCTTTTTTCCTTAAAAAATGTTTAGGGGTACTCTCTTTCCTACTCATATTGAAATACTGCCCCTCAATGAGGCCAAACTTAGATTCGCAAAATGTTTAGGGGTATGCGTACCCCTGAGTCCCCCCCCCCGAAAAAAAACACTGGATTTTTAATAACTACAACTAGTTTTTCACCATAGCATGGCTAATGAGTCTTCTTTCAGGGTGTGAGCAATAAATAAGCACAGACACACAGACACATACAGACTACCCTTCCTGTAGTTATAAATATAAGACAACTCTCTTCATCCATTAATGTTGATGTCAGCTTTCCTGATGTCATACTTTCATTTTTATTTTTATTTTTTTAAATAATATTTATTACTTTTCCAACAATTTAAACACTACAAAAAAAGATAAACAATATAATACAATACAAAAACAATACATAACACTAACACATTAAACTAACAAAACAAAACAAAAACAGTTTAAAACACATCAATCAGTTTCAATATCTTATCTTTCATTCACTTATTTCAATGACCTCCTCACACCTCCCTTTTTGTATTCCACTTCTGTTAATTGTTTCAGCAATTCCTTTCCATCTTCCTCTGCTTTCTATCCTTTAATTATCTTAACACATTCTAACCTTATTTTTCCCTTTAATACTCTATTAATCTATTTATACTTAATTCCTTATAACATTTCTACTAAAGCCATATAATTTCATTCCAACATTTTCCTAACATTCATTAATTTTACAGTATATCTATAAATAGTCTTTAAACTTTTTCCAGTCTTCTTCCACCGACTCTTCTCCCTGGTCTCGGATTCTGCCAGTCATTTCCACCAATTCCATATAGTCCATCAACTTCATCTGCCATTCTTCCCGGGTGGGTAAATCTTGTGTCTTCCAATACTTCATGATGAGTATTATCTTGTGTCTTCCAATACTTCGCGATGTGAGGGCGATCTGGCTGCGACATCTGTCACCCCATTGATCACCAGGGTTGATTCGGCTGATCTGGCTGGCTAGGCAGGTGTCCCCTTCCTCCCTCACCGCTCCATGTGCGTCCCTCCCGAAGCTGCGCGCTCGGTGGAAGAGGACGACCATCCCAGATAGAAGGAGTGTACCGTTCTTCGGTCAAGGGTATACGATAGCTGCGCTCCCCTGCTAGAACATACTTTCATTTTTAAATAATGGTGGTGGGAGGAAAGAGAAGTCCTTCGCTTCACTTTAACTTCAGCAACCAGCTGCTTAGCTTTAAGCAAGAGATATTCTATTGTTGAAACACAGTTTCAAGATCAGATCTATAAAGATCTGCTGTTTCTTACAGGCAGTTCTCCTTTCCCCAGAGAATATTCTAGATTTGGTATTTTCTCCTTATTCTTTCCCCCTTGTTCTTTTATTTAAAATAATTTATACTTCTTCTTTTTGCATACACAATTTCCCTGTATTTTTCTTCTTCTTTTAATGTCAGTGCTTTTATATAAAGGTCTCTCAATGTAAAAACAAATAAACCCACAATTCCAGAGGTTCCACGCAATGCATCCATAATGAATAAGTATTGGTACTGCAAACTTCAGAGAATCATCTAACAAAAGAAAGTTTTGGAAAATAAAATATAAAAAATTAATAGAATGATTGTAGTGGAGTAAAGTGCAAAGAGAATAATACAAGAGAGCTTACTGTAGGCATACATGTTTCATGTTTATTTAAGTAAAAGCAAAAATCAAATTAGCAAATGGATAAAAAGGAAACCTGTAAAGATAAATAAAAAATAAGGAAACAATGTTTATTGAAATTTCATATTTTTTTCTTTTTACATTAATCTTGTTGTTTCCCAAGACTTGTTTTCTAAGACTCCCCCCCCTTTTAGCAAGAACAATAATGACAACAACAAACATAGAATTAGCCCAGATCACAGAATTTATGTTACATTTCTCAGTGAAAAAAGATGGTTGATGTTTAAAGAGAAATATATTTTACATGACACACACAAAATAAAAAGACTTCTGGGAAAAGCAATAAACACAATACCACAGCCTGCTATAATTTTCACTCTTTTTTTAATTTTATTGCAATAGTCTGATGAAGATGCCTTAGATCAGGCAAATAATTGCTTGTCTGGAAAGTACTCACAAATCTGGCCACAAAATTAAACAGTCCTGCAGTATTTCACATTGGCTTGTACAGATCTATAAATCCAAGCAGTGTTGAGGGAACTTTATATAAATAGGAAACGGTCATAAATTTTAACATAGGCTTACAGCTCTTGTGTCTATAAATATGCATTATGGATTGGGGAACACATCTCTGTGACTCATGAACATAGATGTAATCTCAGAACTCAGGCTTGGAAAACAATTGAGCAGAGTTCTAAACCTTGAAGCAGTATCATACCTCTTTAAACAGTCATGGCTTCCCCCAAAGAATTCTCTTGAAGATGACTCAGAAATGTCAACTGGTCCAAAATGCAGCAGCCATTTACTCTCCAGTTTAAAGTGCTTACATTGGTGACTGAAGTCCAAAATGACTTTGTCTTGAAATATCTGAAAGAATGCCACTTTCTGTACAGAATCCCTTGGGTGTTAGAATCAGCAGAGGGGGCCTCTTGCCATTTCTGCCACCCCTGGGGTAACTGTCCAAAAGGCATTTTCTGTAGCACCACCTAAGCAAGGAGTAGTCAACATGTTGCTCTCAATATGTTCCTGGACTATAACTCTTATGAACTATAGTCAGCGTGGACAGTGGTCAGGGATTATGGTAGTTGTAGTACAAGTACTTTAAAACTAAATGAGGTACATGTTGGCTAAGTAGCAGTGTTCAAGCTGAAATATAATCTCTACCGCATAGCACTTTTATACCTGGTTAATTGTCATGTGATGACAATAATGATACACTTGGCATAAAAGAATGGCTGCGTGAATCAATCCTTAGACAGCACTTAAATTGTGCTGGGTGCACTGAGATGAAGATAAAATTAACTATTTGGTGTGTGTTATTTTTTAAAAAGAAGTGAATCATACAAAACACAGACCTATGCATCTTACGTTACAGTGGAGACACACAATTGCCTGTCTGGGATTTTTTTAAAAACTTATTTTACTGACTCACTCCAGTACACAACTGAATATCGTATCACTGCAGCTTCTCATTTCCCATCAAGCATCTTGAGCAAAGCACACTTTAAATAGAAATCAATCAAACAAATGCAGAATTGGCAAGCCATTGGGAATGGCATGTGATTAGGAATCCTATCAGAGCAAAGGAGATTTTCCTTTCCCATTATTCCCCCCCCCCATGACTTTCTTTTCCTGTTCTGCTGGTCTAGCATGTCAATTTCTCATCCTTTACGTCACTATAAATATCCTCTCTGTACTGAATGTTAACACAGCATAGTATTGCGTAGGATGAGCAGCGTCTGCTTATCTAGAGTATCGTGGATGGTACCAGGGGCTTGTGTCTATTAAGGATATTGGCAAAGAATGAGAGTCCTTGGTTTCTCAGCACTAGATAAATGGTGTCTGAGTTAACATTCATGAGGATCCTGGAAGACTCATTTAAAGCAGCCCCTGAGGCTATATGCTTCCTTGGATTCCAGAACAGCACATAAAGCTCTTAGTGTTCTGATCTGCATTTGGAATGGATTGCCTGCATATTACAAAGATTATGCAGGGAATATCGAGTAGCTTTGCTGGTAATGTTCATTCCAGGATTGTTGTATATATGCTGCATGCAAGCAACACTACCAAGTGAGCCAGAGAGTCCTTTGGTGGATTAAAATGGAAGGCTTTTATGTTGTTTGCCATGGAAAGCCAATGCCTGCGGAGGGTTTCACAGTGCCTCCTCTGCCAGAAGTGAATCCAGAAGAAGTGGATGGTAGGGGTGTGTTACAGGTGAGCACAGTTCCTCTAATATAAGGTTACCAGACGTTCCCATTTCCCGGGGACAGTCCCCAGATTTACAAATCAGCCCCCATACAAAATCCATTGAAGTTGAAAAGTGCCCCTGGATTCATTGGAAAAAATCTGGTAACCTTACTCTAATAGCCAGCATGGGCTCTTAAAGAGGACTCTTGTCTGGGAAAGAGGAAGAAGGCTTCAAGGAGAAAGTGAGTAAAGGAAGCACCTTCATGAGTGGGGATAGACACCTTGTTCAGTTAGAAAACAGCCTAAATGGACATTGAATTTGCCCTCCGTATTCAAAAAGTGTGAGAACTGCAGTCACAAACACCTGGAGGGTATCAGGATGTCGATCACCGGTCCATATCAATGTGTTCTCAGAACACACCCAGAAGCAGTACACAAAATGCTGTCTGTTTTAGAAGCCAAGGCTAAAAAGGTCACAGGCTGCAAGTTATGGTGCTAAACTTGCAATCCAGTCATATGTGTGTTTACATATATAAGTCCCAAGTCCCTGCACAAAATAGGAGTCTCTGCAGAATGGGTTTGATAAAACATGGGTTACCACCTGAATTTGCTTTCTTATTTCTAACAAGAAACAGGCACCAAGGGCTCCTCAATATTATCTATTTATTGAGCAGTCATCCTGATTAGCATGTGCATGTGCATGGAGGTTAGACTGTGGCTGTATTCAAACAGAACTTTATTCCCAACAATTTCTTACTGGATTGTTTTTATATTTTATGTGATCTTTCAAAAGACATAAAAGTCATTGGGCCAGGCTTTTTGTCTGCAGCTCCCCCCCCCCAAGAAAAAATGTAGAGGACAACAGGACAGAGGGAAGCAACTTTTGCCAGTGGCATTAAGACAGTCCCCCATAGTACTCCCAGCTTCATCAGTGACAAACTTTGGGTTTTAGAATTTCAGGGGTGGCCTGTGCAACACCAAAAATTTGCCCCCCCCAGCTCTTGCCTTCCATTGTTCATCGTTGTTGCAGAGCCCCCTGCCACACCCTCTCAACTTGGTGCCCAGTGCGGACAAAGCAGTCACACTCCACTAAATCTGCCTATGGCTTCATTAGCCCACTCCTGTTCATCACTCAAAAAAAATTCTTAAATTATAATTCATCCATTTTCAAAAAAGCTTTACAGAGGCACCTTTTCTTATAGGATTGTAACATTTGTCATAATGCAACCTTTTCCTTTCCCTTTGGATATATGCATACATGAAAGAAACTATGCATTATTTTATTGCTGCAATTATTGCCAATTAGTTCTAATTAGCTAAAGTGTAGGCTCTCTTACGAAAACTTAAACTGTTTCAAGTATGGCTTCAGCCTGGTTGTCAGGCAAAGTTATATTTAGGAACTGAACAAAGGCAAAGAACTGGGCCAGATCTGAGAGAATAGGTTCGCTAGAATAGACAAAAGAATAGCATAATGTAACTTCTTTTTAAAAAAGAAAGAACTGAACCTTTGCTGGTTCCATCCATGTGTCTAAGGTGTGTGTGTGTGTGTGTGTGTGTGTGTGTGCATGAGAGAGAGAGAACTTTATCCCACCCAGTTCTGTATTTCATGCAAACATTATCCTAGCATATACATTTTTGTACGTATTAGCTTGCTGGAGAACTGCATTGCAAAATTCAAAAAACTATGCATTTAGAAGGATTGCCATGTTTCAGTTCACATATTCTTTAGGAAAGTATAAATTTGGTAGGATTACTTTTAGATGCAAACTGATTTGAATCCCCACCCTAGCCTCCAGTTAAAAGGTAAAGGGACCCCTGACAATTAAGTCCAGTCATGAATGACTCTGGGGTTGCAGCGCTCATCTCGCTTTAAAGACCGAGGGAGCCAGCGTTTGTCCACTTCCACAGACAGTTTTTCTGGGTCATGTGGCCAGCATGACTAAGCCGCTTCTGGCAAAACCAGAGCAGCACACAGAAACGCCATTTACCTTCCTGCCGGAGCGGTACCTGTTTATCTACTTGCACTGGTGTGCTTTCAAACTGCTAGGTTGGCAAGAGCAGAGACAGAGCAACGGGAGCTCACCCCATTGTGGGGATTCAAACTGCCAACCTTTCAGTTGACAAGCCCAAGCAGCACAGTGGTTTAACCCTCAGCGCCACCCGCATCCCATTAGCCTCCAGTTACCTCCTTCCAAAAGAAACCAAACCTGAGTAAGCACCACATACCTGGAACTTATTGTAGCTCCAACAGATGGGGATGAATGTACCAATATGACAAATCTGAGCATAAAGTAGAAATTTGAGTGCAGCTTTTTTATTCCTAGCATATAAAGAATTAACACTGGAATCCTATATACATCTACTCAGAAGTATGGCCCATTGAATTCAATGTGTCT